CCCCCCCTTTCCACTCACCTACTCACTCACTCACTCACTCACTCACTCACCCACTCACCTTTTTTCTTTTTCCTTCAAAGAAAAAAGAAATACCAAACCAATATATCTACCGATAGAACAACAACAATACCAATCAGCCCTACCCCTACTAACTCCTTACTTCAATAAATAAATAGAATAAAAGCCAAAGCTCAAGCCAAAGCTCAAGCCAAAGCTCAAGCTCAAGCTTCGGCAGCGAAACAGCCAATAATTAATCGACTCTTTCCTTCTTAATGTTTTTTTTTTTTCTCTTTAATATTACATTCAGGCTCTGAAAAAGAAAAAAAAAAAAAATCATACACACAAGAATATCAAGTCTTATTTACAATCGGTACGTGAAATAATAATACTCCGTAAAAGAAAGATAAAGAGAAGGAAATAAGAAATGATTATACCACAAGGCTGAGGTCTTATAATAAGGTATATGCATTAGTAGGAGCGGGATATTATACAACCCCGGCTAACTAGTGCTTATATAATAACTAATCAGAATCTTCTATCAACCTAACCAACGTCCTACATGGTACGTTCGTAACAGAAGAGGGATATAAGAAAGAAACAAAACAAAGTCGTATCGTATCCTCGTTCGTCCCTTGGAACCCCGCAAGGATTTGGTCTCTTCTTCTCTTCTTCCTCTTTCTCTTATATATATATACACTCGCTCTCTCTGCCACTCACTGTCATACCCTCGCATCAACTCTCTTACTACCTACTTTTTAGTATAGATATACGACGTGAGAAACTCGCTCGCTCGCTCGCTCCCGCGCTCACGGCACTGCAAATAAATCCACACTGCGCCCCTTGATCCCCAACGGCCGCGCCGCGCGGCCCGACGCCCCCGAACCCACATCGCCCGCGCCCACGTTGACCGAGTATTCCAGCAGGTTGACGACGCGGACGCCGCCCACGCTGACGTTCCGCGCCGCAAGGTTCGTGTAGCTGGCGGGCCGGAAGAAGGCGTTCAGCGCGATCTGGGCCGTGATGGCATCGTCCACCGTGCCTTCCTGCAGCACGTACAGGACGGCGACGCGCGCAAAGTCGAGGGATTCTTCCGTGATTTCGTAGACGCCCGAGAGAACGACCTCGGGGGAGGGAGAGGGTGCCGGTGGAGCGGCGATAGAGGAGGGGGGTGGGGAGGCGGGGGGTATCGTCGCGCGCATGGAGATGTCGTGAATGTCTTGGTTTGGCGTTGCGAGGGGGTCGGGTGCCATGGGTGAGCCAAGGTCGCGGCGGCGCGCCGCCAATGGGGCTGCAATCAAGCTGGGGACGGATAATACCGCGGAGGAGGGGCCTCTGGAGGGGGTTACAAAATCGCCTGCGTCGCCGATCCTTTCCGAGCGGCCTTGGAAAGTGAGCAGAGCGTTTTCCGTGGCGCAGCTCAGCTCCGCCGAGTTGAATCGCACGAGGATGGTGGTCTCGTCCAGAGGCACGGAGAAGTTCGTCATGGAGCCTGCGATGACGCGGGGGACGGCCTCTCCCACCGTGACATTAGTGACCGTCGGTCCGGGAAGGGAGACGGTGGAGCAGCCCGTAGCATTGGCCGAGGCACACCTCAACCCTGTGAATCCGTTCGTGCATAAACACGCACAGGCCCCCTTGTCTATTACTGACGTCCCGCCGTTGGAGCACGCCGTGAGCGGGCTGGCTGCGCATTGCTCTACAGGGGACATGGATCGAGAGGTGGAGCTGTCGTCCTTGTCGAGAACGAGGATTTTGAGGGGGACGATGATGGCAGCAGTGAGGATGGCCAGGAGGAGGAGGAGGGTGAGCACAAAGGCCCAGTTGGGGAGACCGCAGCACCGGCGTCCCGGCTGCTGGGCGTTCGAATCTTGACTGCGATTGTGGGCTGAGGGGCCGGACCAGTCGGGCTGGCAGTGGTTGGTGGAGCCTTCGACGCGGCCCGCCCCAATGTTCATGGCGGTAGCGGATCGGCGCCAGTCCGTGGGAGTCACTGTTGACATTTAGCGAGTTGGCCGCGGGCGTAGGGGTTGCAGGAAAGCGAGGGGCCACTTACTGTTCATCTCCTTCTCTCTCGCAAAGGCCTGGAAGTCGCTCTCGCTCGGGAAGTCGTCCAGCACCATCTTACTGCTTGGTCTCTTACCCCGGTCCATCATTGCCGCCAAGCGGGTTGCTCGCTTGATCAGTTCTGGCAGACTGGTCGAGCTGCCTCGCACCTCTGCTTCTCTCGCCGCATCCATGTCCACTCTCGGGGGCCGTCGCATAGCCGACAGTGGGCCGTAATTATTATTCGTCGCCGGACTTGGGGTCCTCGTCCCTCCCGGCGTAGGAGGTCCGAGCGAACTCGCCATGTTGTAAGCTCCCATCATCGCATGCGCCTTGGGATCCGAGAATGTGTACGCCGGCGATGGTTCATTCGCCGTATAAGTCCGCGCGAACGACGGACTAGGCGCTTCAGGCGAGCGGCCAGACCTGGGAGCGAATCCGGTTCCACCTGCCCGCGGGGAATTGGTGTTCCCCATCATGGGCCACGCCGGGTCTCGTTGGGATTCCTGCCTCTCCGGTCCCTGATCCCCTCCCGTCCTACCAAATCCCTGAGGGGCTCCGGACGTGGCCACATCCCCCATCGGCGTCACTTGTCGTGGCTCCTGCGGTTCATCTGGCGGTGCCTGAGATTCTGTCTTCTCCAAACTTTTGTTGGTGACCATGGATGGCTTCGCCCTGCGTCCGAAACTCGCGCTCCGGATCAGTCCCTGCCCATCTTGATCGCCGGGTCCGGCAGCATCTTGCATTTCGTCTGCCGTAAGGGATGGATGGAAGCCCGGCGGGCCGTAGGCATCCTCGTCTGAGTACATGCTGCTCGCATCGCCGGGTGATCGAGGAGATCTTGACCCCCAGCTCATGGGGATGGCGGCGCTCGAGGCGTACGAGTGATGTGTCGTTTGGGAGCGAGGACTCTCCTCGGGGATCGGCGAGACGAAGGATGCGTGCGAGTAATACAGAGATGTGCCACGCCTCGAACTGGGCGGTGGCCCGAGATTGGCGATTCTCCGAGGGGGTGCCGGGGGAACCGGGGGGACGGGGGGAACGGGGGGAACCTCAGGTACTGGGAAGTCCGGTATTGAGCCTACGGACGAGATGGTGGATGGCCTGGAGGTGGTTCCGGCTGGAGACACATCATCTGGCGAGACGGCATCCTCTACCTCCCGTTTACCCCCCACCGTGTATGGCGGCAATTCTCTAGATACCTGGCTTTGTCTCTCGGACCCATAGTCCGAGGTGGGCGACGGATCCTCCAGCTGGGACGTCTCAAACATTCCCGGAACCTGGATGGGTCGCGGGGGCCGCTGCGGCGCAGGCCCTCGACCGGCGGGTGGTTGGTAATTCTGGCCTGGATCAACCGCTCCTGCTAACGGCCATGGCGTTGCATGGGCCGCCGTCGGTTTGGAGATTGCCATCCCAATGGGAAGCTGCCCACTCTTCGGGCCCGAGAAGACGGCCGGCATGGGCGGCCGGATCCTGCCCGGTGGGTTTGCTGCAGGCGTCCGCGCCGCTGCTCTTCCTGCCTCCGCCCGATCTCTTGCCTTCCTGACCGATCCAGCAGCAGCTCCAGGATTCCTGGATGGCGGGTGCCATGGTGTGTTGTTCATTTCAGCTGGGACCGAGGAGGGAAGACGGCTCGCAAGTCCTCTGGCGATGGATATAAGGGGCTGGCTGCAAATTGGTAGCAGCTACCCTCTCCGACCAATGCTGCGCCTCGGATCCTTTCCCCTTTTATCGCGTTTGCATATGCATGAAGCCGTCGGACACGAAGCTGATTAGTGTATGCGCGGAGCCGTCGATCGTCTGGTGGAAAGGAGCCAGGAGCCGGAGATGGAGATGGATATGCCAGGGAGCCGGAGCAGATCGTCGCGGTTGCGGATTCGATCGACTTGTTCTCTAGAACTTGGAGATAACTTGGGTATTTGGGCTAAACAAATGGAAGTGATCGAACTTCGAGCGAATGAATGAATGAATGGACGAATGAAAGAATAGACAAATAAACGAGCGAACGAATGGTAGATTGACAATGGGTATTCATTAAAGAGGGCGTGGTCGATCCCGGGGAGCCAGAATGGTACAGCGAGAGATGGATTGATTGTTGTCGACGTCGAAGGGGAAGTGCCAATGGAATCAGTCGACAGAGTTGGGCATTTCCAACTGCGAATGTCGGTCGGTCTGTCGGTCTGTTTGACTGTCTATCCCCAATCCCGAATCCCCAAGACGATGGTGGGTGGGAGCGTTGTGGTCCGTAGTAGGGTAGTAGAAGTACGAGAATCTGAGACGCGGGCGATTAGACTTCCCCCACCTTCAACGAGTCCTGCGCGATGGTGTTGTTAGCTGGCTTGCACAGGGTAAGGGAACGAGCGACCAGGCGATGAAAAAAGAAAGTAGTACAGTAATACAAATGCTCCGATAATCCAGGCTTTCTTTCTCTTGTTCTCTATTTTTGTCCCCGTCATAGAAGGAGAAGGTCGAGTCGAGGAGAAATGAAAAGATCGGATGAATCGGCCCTCGTGTAGAGTAGATTGCAGAAGTCGATATGAACCGTCTTTCCAAGGGCAGAGGGGGGAAAGTCAAAATGGAATTGGGTTTGAGGGACCAGGAAGTTGAACTCTGTACCCACGGCCCACGGAGTAGGGACCCGATCGTGTCTGCGGCGACCCATGTCGGGGACAGGGCAGGGCCGGGGCTGGGCAGGGCAGTGCAGGGCAGGGTTGATGAGGATGTGAGGAAGAAGAGGGAGAGGGAGAGGGAGAGGGAGAGGAGGTAGAGGTAGAGGAGGTGAAGGAGGTGAAGGAGTTGGAGGAGGGAGGGAGAGGAAGAGGTGGGAGGGAGAGTGAACGACAGTGTCAACAGCACGCAACAGAAGAAGAGGATGGTGTCGGTGGTTTACATTTGGTTGCACGTGTGGTATGTCACGTGATTGTGGGGATGGGAGCACCTGACTGTCGTTTCTCCCTCGGTACAGATACCGTCTAGTTCCCCACCTTGGGCCTAATCGCCCCGTATCTACTGAACGTCGACGAAGACCTGGATGGAGCGGCTTCGGCTTCGGCTTCGGCTTCGGCTTTTGATTCTGAAGTGGCCCGAACGAAAGAACGTTCAGAGGCCCGGGTCTGGGCTGGGCCTGTTGGTTTTTGCCGTATGGCGAGGGCGAGGTTGAGGGCACGGGCGAGCACGATCAATCCAGCAGCAAAGAAAGAGGAGTGTTCAGTCGAGGGTCAATAGCAAGGATGAGGCGGAGAGGGAGAGAGAGAGAGAGAGAGAGAGAGAGAGAGAAGAGAAAGAAGAGAGATAGAAAGAAGAGA